ATCTCCAACATCATGGGTTTCCATTTCAATTTCGAATTCCCCTGTGCGATTTTTTCCAAGGGCCTGTGAAGTCCTCCCTGCAGAAATTCCAGCCCGCCATGCACTGCTTGGCTTTAGAAACTTTCTGAAACCTTGGTGCCTCCTTGCATGCCAACTTGCATTTTGCATGCCTGTGGATGATGTCATTAAGTGCTGCTGCCAGCCTGAGACCCAGAATGCCTCTTCTATTTGGTTGTAGTGGCCTCTGGGGGTCCTGGGCAGCTGAACCGTGGAACGCCCTTCTCTGGGTGGTCAGGCTTACCACAGCAAAGGCCTCACTTCTTGGTATCAATTGTTACTTCCTTGTTGACAAAACACTCGACAGAAGCATCCTAAGGGAGGAGGGGTTGATTTTGGCTACAGTATAAGAGAGGCTACAGTTCATTACAGTGGGGAGGCATGGCAGAAGATGACTGAGGTCCTGTTCCCTCTGCAGTCAGGGAGCAGGGACAGATGAACGCTGGCACTCAGCTGGCTTCTCCTTTGTCTCTTTCTATTTAGCCTGAGATCATGAGAGGGGACCACCACATTCATGGCAGGACTTCCCTTCTAAGCTAAATCTCCTGGAAATACCCTCATAGAAACAACCAGAGGGGGCTGGAAACCCCATCAAGTTGACAGTGAAGATTAGCCATCCGAGTGGAGCATACTTGTAAGTCAAGTACCGTGAAAGCTGTGGCAGTCTAAAAAACCAGTGGCTGGGAATACAGCTCAGTGGGAGAGACTTGTCTTGCATATGCAAGGTTCTCTCTCTCTCTCTCTCTCTCTCTCTCTCTCTCTCTCTCTCTCTCACACACACACACACACACACACACACACACACACACACACACACACACACAGCAAAAATCCTCCACTCTTTCCAATGCCTAAAGAAGGGCTCAGAGGACAGAGGATGAACCTCTGAACCTGGCAGGTCTCCAAGCATGTTCAAACTTGCAGTCCACCTGAGGTAGCTGGTTTGGCACTGATGACAAGGCAAGCGTGGGATGCTACAGAAGAAGAACATCTAAGAGGAGCAGGCAGAAATTATATGGGAGGGAAACACCTAGTTTTTCAAATCAGAGGGAATACATTGCTGTCTGAAGTTTTTTTCTTCTCCTCCTATATTAAAGCAAGAGCTGCATGATCCTTCCTGCCTGTGGCTTTCTCAAAATGGCAGTACTGTTTAGTTTCAAGGCACAAAGGCAATCTTGTAAGTAAGTTGAAAACATTTGCAAGACAATACAAAATGGAAATAGGAATACAATACAATAGGAAAATGGAAAAGAGGGTGAATCCTGGAGCTGCCCACATTCAAATCCCAGCCCTGCCACCTGCTCCCTGCATACCTTGGCAACTTGTTTAGTCTTTCTGTGCCTCAGTTTCCTCTGTTAGCAGTAGATTGGTTGACATACATAAGGTATGGTATTAAGTGCCTGCTGTTATGACTACTTTCAAACTTGTAGGAACTAGTCTTCCCAGCTAGCCTTATTGGCCTCTGCAGTTGCCATTAGTTAGGTAGTACAGTGTCCACCACATGCCAAGAACTATGATAGAAACTAGAGGATATGGGACGTGAATGAAGAATAATCCTGGAGTTCAGGGATGCAGCTCTGTAGAAGGTTTGGCTAGCTTGTGCAGGGCCCTAGATTTGATCTTCAGCACTGTAAGAGGAAGAAGAGGAAGAGGAGAAGGTGGGGGAGGAGGAGGGAGAGGAGAAGGAAGAGGGGGAAGAAGAAGAGGTGGAAGAAGAGGAGGAAGAAAAGGAGGAAGAGACCAACGACAGCATGTTGTTCTACCCCTTTTATGCTTTCATCTTATTAATAATCATGAAAAGTTTGGGGATTGTGCAGTCAAAAAGTACAGGTCTCTATAAGTGGGCTTTGAGGTTTCAGATGCTCAAACCAGGCCCAGAGTCTCTGTCTCTTCCTGCTCCCTGCTGATCCAGATGTAGAACTCTTAGCTACCTCTCCAGCACCATGTCTGCCTGCCTGTAGATGCTTCCCACTGTGACAATAATGGGCTAAACCTCTGAAATGTAAGCCAGCCCCAATTCACTGTTGTCCTTTATGAGTTGCAGTGGTCACGGTGTCTCTTCCCAGCAATGGAAACCCTACTAAGGCAGCCAGGGACTCCGCCCATGTTCCAGCACCTCTCAGGGATCTGCCATGGAGTCTCTGGTGACTGTCCTCCACTAGATCCCTCAAGCCCAGAAGGCAAAGTGATTCAGATAAGCTTTTTATCTTTGGACTCTAACAGAAGGCCCACTGAAGGCACTGGACATCCAGGACAATGGCGATCCCACTCTTCCCATTGCCTAGCTGCTGCCTCCATCAGTATCACCACCAGCCTACACCACAGGACCAAGACTTTTCTTAAAGAAAAACCTAAACCGGATTTCTGAGTTCGAGGCCAGCCTGGTCTACAGAGTGAGTTCCAGGACAGCCAGGGCTACACAGAGAAACCCTGTCTCGAAAAACCAAAAAAAAAAAAAAAGAAAAAAAAAGAAAGAAAAAAGAAAAAGAAAAAAAAGAAAACAGAAGCCTAAACACAGAAAGGCAAAATGCTTGTAGTCAAACATCACCTCCCCAGTGACAGCTACCGGGTGTGACAGCTAATTTTGATTGCCAACCTGATGTGATTTAGAATCACAATGGAAACAAACCACTAGGCATGTTCTTCTGGTGGAGGTGAGAAGAGCTACTCTCCATGAGGGTGGCTCCATTTCAGGTGTGTGTGTGTGTGTGTGTGTGTGTGTGTGTAGGGGGGGTCCCAGACTGAATAAAAACACCAGGCAGGCTGAGCACCTGCACTGTCTCTCGGCTTTCCTGTCTACAGATGCAAAGCGACCTTACACTCTTGCTGCAATGTCCCCACCATGACAGCCTGTGAGGCACAATAAACCTGCTCTTAGATCAATGGCTAATGTGTGGGAGTCAGTCCTTTCTTTCCATCACATGGGTCCTGCAGTTAAAAGCTCATTTGACTTTGACACAGCATCTTTACCTTCTGAGCCATCTCACTGGTCCAACTGTGGACATTCTTTCTTGTCTATCTCCTAGAACAGCATCTCCATGAAGATAAGCACTGTTGTGCATTTTGAAGAATGAAATGTCTTAGAAAACTGCTTGGGCATGTAGTAGGCTCCCAAGAAAAGCTGTTGCATAGATTATTACATGAGACACAGATGCTGCCTCATCACACTGTAGCAAACTACACTGAAGTATTTTAAAGCCATTTTCAAGATTAAAAAACAAAACAAAACAAAACCAAGCAACAACAACCAACCAAACAACAACAACAACAAAGAAGCTCCCTGAATCCGGACTCTAAATCATTTGCTCAAGTGAAACAGGTCAGTAAAGGATCAAGCTGGGCCCCAGTTTCCTATTCCCAAGAAGGCTTGGCAATTTGGTTTTCTGTCAACATGTCAGGGGGTCTCCAATAATGATAAGAGAAACAAAATCTGACACTTCCTAGGTGTTATAAATGATAGCTCACTCTGCTACATGCTGTGACATCCTTAAGAGAAAGAGAGAACAAGCCAGGGACTAGGGAAGTAAGCTGGTCTTCATGTTTGGGTTTAGGGATCACAATGTCCAGGGACGGTTAGGTCTCATAGTTTTACAACAGGAATGGATCCTGGAGGCTCTGAGCTGACTGCTTGGTGCCTCTGTGACCAAGGAGGGCCATCTAGAGTATCTGTCCAAGACTTTCTGATGAATAGAAATGACTCCCAGATGATTCAGAGAATGAAGAAAAGATTAGTTTAGCTCAACCTCAAAGTTTCTTCAAATTTGTCAGCGGCACCAGAATCTTTATAACAATTTACTGGTTATCTTTATGCAAAGTTGAAAAAATGGAACTTGAGACACTAACTGCACAGGCAGAGTGCTTCTTTTCTAAAATGCTTGGAACCAAACTGATGTGGAGTTCAGAATTTTTGTACAACATGAAGTTCAATTATATTTCATATAAATTTTAGACACTTGGTCAGAAGGTAATCCTATACAACTTTTTGTTTGTTCTGTTTTTCAAGTCAGGGATTCTCTGTGTAGCACTGGCTGTCCTAGAACTCACTATGTAGATAGACCAGGCTGGCCTTAAACTTGGAGATCCATCTCCCTCTGTCTCTCAAGTGCTGGAATTAAAGGTGTGTGCCACCAATGCCTGGCTCTATACAACATTTTAAATAATTTTATGAATTGTACCAAGTTTCATGGTATTGGGAAGTTTCTAATTGTGACATTATATTGGCATCAACATTTTGGACTTTAGAGTAGAAATGCTCAATCTGAAAGATATCTTTCAATAAAGAAACAAACAGGGAAAGTTAAGGTAACAAATCATTGTGGAAAGCATACAGATTATTAGGGAATCCACAATTAATAGGATCCTAAAGGGCTCTGTGTCCTACCATAGATCTACTGGCACATACATGTTGATTTCTGTACTATCCACTACAGTTAGGAAGCAGGCCCTGCCTAAATGGCCACCAAAAGATGAATAAGGAAAGGAAATGGGTTACACACACACACACACACACACACACACACACACACACACACACACAGACACACTGGACTCTCCAATAAATCTCTAATGAGATCTAGTGTCTGGTAAAACTCTCTCATCAGAAGCCAGGAAGCAATGAAGGAAAGAAGAGAAGGAGCAGGCTGAGACTCCTGCGCTCCTCAGCCCAGCTGGGGACTCCCTCCTCCGGGAGCTGCAACACCTCTGCATAAAAATCTCAATAATGAAACACTTTGTATACTATTTACAAATAAATAAAACTTAAAAATGAACTGAGCTGAGGAAGGGAGTTTACACGGACAGCCCAGAGAGGTTAAAGGAACTCAGTCGGAGGCAGGCAGCAACAGATGGGAGCGATCACGGATCCCCTGACTCACACATTACCCCACACACTATCACGGTCTCACGCAAAACAAACTCTGGGAGGCAGAGCCTGCATACAGCACCTCATGAACCACAGGGCCCAGCAGGAAGTCCAGGCGCTGGCACAGCTCTCCCAGGTTGGCTAAGCTGCTGGCCCTGTGTGCAGCATCAGGATCTTTTACTCCCCGCAGGAAGGTATGGATCAAAGGCTCCTGGTATTTTGAGACCATGTCCCCTGTAGGAAAAAAAAAAATCAAAATCCTTTAATTTCAGCTCTTCAGTGGTGAAACAGACCTTGCCATGGCATGCTGCATGATGCCTTACACTTTGCAATGGACATATACGACCATTAAAAGTCGTGCTCAGAGCTCAGCATGATGGCTCATACCTGTAATATAGCACTTAGGAAGCTGGAGAAAGTTCCTGTGTTCAAAGTCAGCTTGAACTTCACAACTGGCTTCAAGGCACACTGGGCTACAAGCTGAGACTTCTGTTAGATACACTAATGTTCTTTAGATATAAAAATTAATAAAGCATCCTTCTACCTTTAAGAGGCCTGAAGTTTAGATGGGGGTGCAGACAGACACATGCTGACAGCTGTGGTCCTGACACTCGCCATGCGGGGCTGTGTCTCACTCTGCCCTGTGTACATCAATGTGGACTCAGTGTTAACTCTGCCACACACAGTCTGTTTTCAGCTTAGGAAACAGAACATACTCAGGGCTGGGGACAGAGCTCAGGTGGGAAGTGCTTGCCTAGCATGCACATAGTTCTGGGTTGGTTCCCTAGCTGTAAGGAGCAGGGCCTTAAACAGGACCAACTCCATTTTGTAATAGTAAACTTGTAGAGACTAGTCTGGTACTTGTAAAGACATGTCTGGTACTTGTAAAGGCAAGTCTGGAAATGAAGCTGTGCTGAGGTATCCAGACACGAGTGGTTATCTGCCATGTACGTCAAGAGTAACGCCAAATCCAACATAAAAGAGGAGCCCGTCCGGAGCACTTCATCACACTTGTAGCCATGACTGGACAATGTGATCCTCCAGACAAAGCCTCCTCAGCAACAGGTCATCAAAGAGTTAACTGAGAGACCTATGCCTCCAGCTTCGTGGTCAAGCACCCTATGAGGTCAAATTATCTGGAAGCCACAGCCTGACCCTGCCTTACTGGACTGACCTGAAACCCAAAACCATCAAAAGGACTCAGGTCGTATAATCCATGAATGGATGGTATATTTATTGCTATGCTTATTTCTTTGGTAATTAGCAATTTATTATTTGTGTTCATTGTGCATATTGTTAGAGGCAATGCATAGGACATGTGACAGTATCTTGTTGTAGCAATAGCCTTAGCATTTATATTGCATTTTATATTGCCTGCTGTGCATTATCATTAAAGAAGTAACTGAATCCCAAACTCTCTGTCTCTTGGTGTACTCTCTCTTCCCTCTCGAGGAGCTGATGATCTCACAGTCAAATCCAGTATACAATTCCTGAGTGGAGCAGGATCTGTCGCGCCTCTCCTCGAGGGGGATTCTAACCCCTTAACAGATAAGAGTAGCCTGCTCGAGACACTAGCACTGACTGAAATTCAGTGTGGTTGAGGCCTGCAATCCCAGGACTCAGAAGAGGCAGGAAGATCAAAGATTCAAGGTGATCCTCAATTATATAGCAAGTTCAATACCTAACTGAAAATAAAACTGAAGGAAAACTGACCATGTAGTACCACTTTATTTATCTATCCATTTATTTACTTAGAGATGCTCTGATCAGTTACTGACTGACAGACTGACTGACTGACTGATTGATTGATTGAAGCAGAGTTTCTCTATGTAACCCTGACTGTCCTGGAACTTACTATATAGAACAGGCTGAGCTCAAACGCAGAGATCTACCTGCTTCTGCCTCCCGAGTCCTGGGATTACAGGCACCACTACTGCCCAGCTCTGGTCAGTAATTAAGTTTCTTTTCTACTAAGCAAAGAGATATCATCATCTTCATGAGTATAAGCACTGTTATTTTATTTTATGGGAAGGGTATTTTGTTGCATGGATATCTGTGCACCACATGTATGCAGTGATCACAGAAGCCAGAAGACGGCGTTAGAGCCCTTGGAACTGGGGTTATAGATAGCTGTGAGCCACAGTGTGGGTGCTGGGAATTGAACTCAGGACCTCTGGAAAAGCAGCAGTGCTCTTAACCACTGGGCCACCTCTCTAGCCCACAGCCAGTATTATTTCACCCAACCTGACCACAGTGTCCCTGGAATGACCTGGTTCACTGTCACTCACGACTCAGCTCACTTGCTTTTGTTCACTGCTCATCTCATACCAAGTACTTGAGATAACTGACAATAGCTAACAATGAAATAAGTCATCACTAGCCGGGCAGTGGTGGCGCATGCCTTTAGTTCTAGCACTTGGGAGGCAGAGACAGGTGGATTTCTGAGTTTGAGGCCAGCCTGGTCTACAGAGTGAGTTCCAGGACAGCCAGGACTACACAGAGAAACCCTGTCTCAAAAAACAAAATCATTATTAAAATAATTTTTTTGAGACAGGCTCTCATACAGCCAAGGCTGTCCTCAAAATCCCTAAATAGTTGAAAATGGCCTTGAACTTCTGATCCTCCCGCCTCTTCCTTCCAAATGCTAGGATTACAGAACTGTGCTAGCGGTGCCCAGCTTATGTGGTGCTGGAGATCAAGCCCAGGGCTGTGTGCATGCTCAGCAACCTTTCTACCAACGGAGTTACATCTCCAGCCCTAAAATAAATATTTTACAACTCTACAGTAAGCGAGGACTGCAGACATCCCAAGCTAAGTATAGTTATTGCAAATGTATTCAAAATTGAGTTTAGTAATTCTTGGTAGCTAAGTCAGAAAGGGAAACACAGCTCTCATTATCCAATAAAAGATGGAACAAAATTTACTAGCAGAGAAAAACCGAAGGATGGATACTAAGGAGTCTTTCATCAACTCAGTCAGTAATTCTTTTTTGGGGTGACGGGTTGGGTGTCACTGGCAGGGCTGATAACTGAACTAAGGGCTCACACATGTCAGGCAAGCATTCTACCACTGAGTCACATTCCCAACCTTGGTCCAGCGAACCTTGAGCACCAAAAATATCACAATCATGTTCTTAAATACAGCATGAACAGCACTGGAGAGCTGGCCCAGTAATTAGAGGTATGCACTGCTCTTCCAAAGGACCTGGGTTCGGTCCCCAGCACCCATGTCAGGTGGCTCACAGCTGTAGGTACCTCCACTTCCGAGGGCTCTAACACCTTTTCTGGCCTCTGTGGATATCTGCACTAATGTGCATATACCAGCATAATTAGATATAAAAATTTAAAATACAATAAACCATAAATAAAATTTCCAGCAGAAACTAATCCTATGGAAAAGAAGAAGAAGAGGAAGAAGAAGAGGAAGAAGAGGAGAAAGAGGAGGGAGAGGAGAAAGAGGAGGAAAAGGAGGAGGAGGAGAATGAGAAGGAGAAGGGGGAGAAGGAGAAGGAGGAAAAAGAAGAGGAAGAAGAAGAGGAGGAAGAGGAAAAGAGAAGAGGGATTGTTGAAACTTCCTGCTCTTTAAACTGTACAGTACTTCTGTGTTAGCTCTGCATCTAACAATACAAAATCCAAAAAAGTTAAACTTGCCAAAATATAGGAACTTAATTTGTACATTATTTTTTTAATTTCATTTTACTATTTTAAAATTATATGTATATGAGTTTCCATGTGTGCATATATGCGCCATGGAGTGCAGAAGAGGGTGCTAGGTCCCTTGGAGCTGGAGTTACAGGTGGTTGTGAGCCACCATGTGAGTGCTGGGAACTGAATTTGTATCTTCACAAGAGCAACAGGCACGCTTAACCATCCAGCCACCTCTCCAGCCTTTTAAAATGTTTTTATCTTGACTTAAGGCACATATTAGTAAAGCAGCTTCCAAATTAATTAATTAATTAATTTATTTATTTATTTATTTGTTGTTTTGAGATGGGAGTCTCCTTACATAACCCTGGCTGTTCTGGAACTCACTCTGTATACCAGGCTGGCCTCAAACTCAGGCCCACATGCCTCTGCCTCCTGAACGCTGGGATTAAAGGTGTGTGCCATCACTACCTAGCTCCAAGTTAACTTTATAACTAACATTTACTTTTCTAAAAAAAATTAAGCTCAGTAATTTTCCTTTTTTAAACAAAAATTTAACTGGGTCAATATCTTGGTCTCCAGCATGACTCTTACATTTGTATATTCTCTTTTAAAATAATTTATTCATTTTTTATGTGCATTGGTGTTTTGTCTGCATGGATATCTATGTGATGGTGTCATATCTTGGAGTTACAGATGGTTGTGAGCTGCCATGTGGTTGCTGGGAATTGTCCTTGTCCTCTTGGAAGAGTAGTCAGTGCTCTTAACCTCAGAATTCTCTCCAACTTTCACATTTACACATTCTTCTACACACACACACACACACACACACACACACACACACACACACACACGAACTTGCAAAAAAAAAGCTAAAGCATATTTAGACACCTGTTAACCTACTTAAAAACCAAAAATAAAATCACTATTTCCACTAGAAGCTTGGGAGGATAGGTTATATGCTCAGTATTTTGTACCTATTGGCCAACTCATTTAACTGTAAATTAAAATCTGAGGTCCTAAGATACCCACTATTATTCCTTGTTACCTGCTTAAGCAGATAACACACAATTATCCTACCCAGAAACCGGCTTTTGCCTTTCGTTTGTTTTCTTCACCTATATGCAATGTTCCCACGGTTTCATTGTATCTCCCTGGAGTTACCAGCCTCTAAACCCTTCCCAGACCTTTTGCTTGGACAAAAGTGCACCCCCACCCCACCCCCACGGGCAAACATTCACTGTTTTCTTCTTTTCTCTTTAACAATATGCATGTCTTATGGGTTTCATGAAGAACAACTCTCAAATTCCCACTCCTACTTTCAGGAAGAACTTTCAGCAGACATCAGCCACAGCCTAGGACTCTGGGGCTGGGGCAGAGCCCTGCTTCCTAGAGCATTTCCCAACAGCTCAGGCAAGCAAACACAGTCAAGCCTGGGTAGAGCCCAGGCAGCCTATCTGTTACAGCCTACATCTAAGGGCTTTTACTTCATGAAATGGTAGTAGGACTTGGCTATCTGCAACTCTCTTTCAACTCTGAACTCAGCAACCACCTTACTAAGTTGTGTGTTCAAGGAAATTACGGAAGAAT